ACTCTCTTAGCACTCTAGGATGCACCATGTCAGGTCCGGGACTCTTATGGACCTTTAGCCTGGACAATTAATTTCTAATCCCCTCTTCTGTGAACACAATGTGGATCAGTGCTGTGTCGAACCGTCTGTCCTCAAACGCAGGAAGGTTAGTTGCATCCTCTCTTGTGAACACCGAGGAAAAGAAGCTGTTCAATGCCTCAGCTTTATCCTGGTCAGAATCTGCATAGCTACCGTCCACCAGCCTCAGTTCTGATACTCCTACTCGCGTTTTCAATTTCGACTTTGCATAGCCATAAAACGCCTTTGGGTTTGACTTGACCTCGCTTGCAACCAGCCTCTGGAACTCCTTTTCAGCCCTTCTACACTCTATCTTTGCTTGGTAAGTTCACACCGATGCATACAAGATATTTCCTTTCAAGTGTAGTTTCTGAGTCACTTCCAACACCTCACATAGTTCTGATACATTTATCCTTTTTCCAGATCATTGTTCTCATGTATTTTCATATGATATCTGTGGAAGTTATGTTCGCTACACGCTCACAGACGTAAATAGTATGACCTTCAAACCCTGATCCCCACTTAGTCCTACAGTACACTAGTCCGGCTCAACTGGACTTTAACATTCATCTTATGGATACCCTAAGTTCTCCTTAATGCTATGAATACATACAATTAATATTATATAACCGTACCTGGGTACAATACAACACATGATTCAGTAACATTGAGTAGGTGAGTTATTCCTTATCAATGTTTCCCGTTTTCTGAGATTCTACAAGTGCGGTGCATTTGAATGTTATGTAGTGTAATATGAATTAAAGGTTTTCTTTAGGAATGACACTGATGTGCGTAGTACATTATTATTATTATTATTATTATTATTATTATTATTATTATTATTATTATTATTATTATTATTATTATTATTATTATTATTATTATTATTATTATTATTATTATTATTATTTTCGCCCCCCTAGGCCTTGATGTGGGTTATTAAAAATGACTTGTGCCCGGGTGGGCTAATGCCCGTAAAAAAAAAAAGGTAACCATTTTGATTTGATCCCCTAGGCTATTTCACGAGTATTAATCATCCTAACTTCACCTACCTATAACTAACCTAGCCCCCCCTCCCTCAGGTAGCGTTAGGGTGATAATGTAGTGGATTCCTCCCCTACAAACGCCGTGCGTCGCTGACTGGCCGCCCCCCCCGCGAATCTACCGGCGTATCCCTCGTGGTCAAGGTCAGGTAACCAGCGACGCCGAACAAAGCGGGGCCTTCCATCAAGCCACGCCTACCCCCGCTATATAAGACCTCACCTGGCCTTCATCGACCTCTTTCTACTTACCGCCACCAGCAAGCAACATCTCTCAACAGCTCCATACACACGCTCCCTCAGAAAGCTCCTCGCCCTACAGGAACTCTGAGCAAGCTTCGCCCGACTTAGTATCTCTTTAACTTTTACTTTTTTTTTTACTTTTATCCTCTTCGCCACTGATCGGCTTGTTAGCCGCTTGGGCGATCGGTCACGTCTCTTTTCCTTTATATTCTTCACCAAAAGGTCGGCTCGCTAGCCGCCCGGGCGATCGGTCACGTCTCTGTCACGCACTGTTGGCAAATACTGGGCATGCACCGGCTCCTGGATGTACCTGAACCCGCTCCAGTGTTGGTCAAGTCTTCTCTTGAAAGAGCTCACACTCGGTGCCGTCACAACACTCTCTGGTAGATTGTTCCAAGAGTTTAAAACCCTCACTCCGAAAAAGTTTGCCCTCACGGTTTTCCGGACTTGCGGCTTCTTCAATCTTGAGCTGTGACCCCTTGTGGGGCGAGCGTCCGCCAGCTCCAAGTAAGGACACTCAACTGAGTAGTGCCCCCTGAGATGCTTATAAACCTCAACTAGGTCCCCCCTTGCCCGTCTGTAGTATAAGCTAGGCAAGTTCAGGCGCTCCAATCTCTCAGGGTAGCTGAGATGCCGAAGTGCAGGCACCAGTTTGGTGGCCCTCCTTTGAACATTTTCAACCAACTGACAGTCCCTAGCATATCTCGGGGACCAGATGGGGTGACAGTACTCCAGATGGGGAAGCACTTCACTCCTGAAGATCGTCACGAGGGACGGACCGTCTAGATATCTGAACGACCTTCTTATAAGACCCAATAATTTATTTGCCTGATTTACCTTCTTCTCACAATGGCCCGAGAACTTCAGCTCATTGTCAACATACACACCTAGGTCCTTCTCACACACAGTCTCAACTAGTACATTTTCTTCATCCCGTTGGGACATATGGTACGCCTCCTTACCGTTGGTACGCCCCAGGTGCATCGTCTTACACTTCGTGACATTGAATCTCAGCAGCCATTCCTTCGACCATTCCTGGAGCCCACAGAGGTCCTTCTGCAGCTCTTCACAGTCCGCTTGGTTCTTTATTTCCCGAAATAACTTGGCGTCATCGGCAAACATTTGTATGGAGGAGTGTACAACGTCAGGCATATCATTTATGAAACAAACAAACAACAGCGGGCCCAATACACTACCCTGCGGTACCCCACTTGTTACAGGTACAGATGACGATTTCGTGCCATTAATCACCACACATTGCTTGCGGTCATGTAGAAAGTCTTCTATCCACGCTAGGACATTTCCCCGAATTCCGTACCCTTCCAGTTTGATTTTCAGCCTTTCGTGGGGTACACTGTCGAAAGCCTTGGCAAAATCTAGGTAAATATTGTCGATATTACCACCCCGTTCTAGAATATGGGTCCAAATATCCAATACCTTGAGCAATTGTGTCAAGCAAGAGCGCCCCGGCATAAAACCGTGTTGGCAATCTTTTACAAGGTTGTTTCGTAGTAGATGTTCCATCGCTGCATCTCTGATAATACTCTCAAGTACTTTACATATTATGCTGGTCAGGCTCACCGGTCTATAGTTGTTCGTGGAGTGCCTATCGCCCTTCTTGAAGATAGGACTCACATAAGCCACTTTCCATTCACTGGGGACCATTTGTTCATCCAGGCATTTACAAAACAGAATCTTCAGGGGCTCTGCAAGCTCGTTGCACAGCTCCCTTAGCACTCTAGGATGCACCATGTCAGGTCCAGGACTCTTATGGACCTTTAGCCTGGACAGTTTATTTCTAATACCCTCTTCTGTGAACACAATGTGGGTCAGTGCTGTGTCGAACCGTCTGTCCTCAAACGCAGGAAGGTTAGTTGCATCCTCTCTTGTGAACACTGAGGAAAAGAAGCTGTTCAATGCCTCAGCTTTATCCTGGTCAGAATCTGCGTAACTACCATCTTCAAGCCTCAGGTCTGATACTCCTACTCGCGTTTTCAATTTCGACTTTGCATAGCGGTAAAACGCCTTTGGGTTTGACTTGACCTCGCGTGCAACCAGCCTTTGGAACTCCTTTTCAGCCCTCCTACACTCTATCTTTGCTTGGTTTCTGGCTCTTGCATACATCCTCCTGTCTTGCTCATCGTTTGACCCAACCCACGTCTTGAATTTCTGGGTTTTCTTCTTAATTTTGTCGACCGCCGCATGGTTCATGTGTAGGGATCCCCTCGTATTCCTAGAAGCACTGGGTTTGGTCTTGGGTATATATTTATCGATCAAATGGGTCATTTTACTAGTTATGATATTCAGCGTAGTGTCTGCGTTCTTGTACCTTAATAAGTCAGGCCAGTTGATACCCCTCATCTCTTCCCTCATCCCATTGTAATTTCCCTTGTAATATTTGCACCTTGGCCTGGCCTTATCTTGAACTAGGTAACAGTTAAATCTGAATGACAACACTGTATGGTGACTGGTGCCAACTGGGGCAAGGTGTTCCAGTTTGGCCACCATACCCTCCTCGTTTGTTATGATGAGGTCAAGTGGCTTGGGTGTTTGCTCCCCTCTGTAATGTGTCGGGTCTCTCACATGTTGGAACAGAAAATTATCTCTCAGAGTTTCTACAAAAAGAGTAGCAGGATTATTCAAGTCATTCGGGGTTGACTCGTTTCTCCAGTCGATGTCGCCATAGTTAAAGTCCCCCATGATAAGGAGGTGGCTGGGGTTGAGCATCGCCGCATTGTTCATTAAGGTTCTTAAGTTCCTTTGATTTAGTGGGCCACAATATATATACGAGAAACACACTGTGATTTTCTATTTCTACCTCTATCCTGAGTGTTGGATATATTACATGTACGTACTTTGTGAGGCCAAATAACAGACCCTGACAACCTGCCACAACAGTACGCTACAATAACTCTCCTGGTGAAATAAGGTGTTGAGGCGAATCTTCAGGTGATCCAGTACTATTATCGTATTTATCACTTCATCATTTATCAGCTTGTCATGCTTGGTAGTGAGGGTCACTTGTGTCCAGGCCAAGGCTCGAATCCTTTTCTTTTTCTTTTATCCTCTACACCACTGATCGGCTCGTTAGCCGCTTGGGCGGTCGGCCACGTCTCTGTCACGCACTGTTGGCAAGTACTGGGCATGTACCGGCTCCTGGATGTACCTGAACCTGCTCCAGTGTTGGTCAAGTCTGGTCTTGAAGCAGCTCACACTCGGTGCCGTCACAACACTCTCTGGCAGATTGTTCCAAGAGTTCATAACTCTGAAAAAGTTACTCCTCCCCTTGATATATTACTGAGAGATATTCGCTGTACACCAACACTAGAGAGGTATAGCTATTAATTTTGAATTGTTTATGATGAGTGTATTTAATAACCCAAAATACGAGCTTAAAGAGTTTATATTTATTGAAGAGCAGTTATACATTATAATAACAACATATTCTATAGCGGAAGTAGCATTATGACAATACTACAGTGAAAGGAGGAGACTATGAATGTATATTTAACAAATAAGGCAAATGTTCTCCTATGAACAGTACCATAGAGCCATATAATATGAAAAATAACTTTTGGAAAACTAAACCGAGATAAAATTTATCTTTATCATGACCCGGAAATGAACATAAACTTAAGTGTAAACGTGATTACATGACCCGGAGTTAATGAGTGAAGGGAGGAAGGGCCGAGGGGGCGTACAGGTGTTTGCAGCCTAAAACTTTTACTGGAAGAGGTGTGAAAGGTAAATTAATATTATTGTGATCCTGTGTAAGAACTGGAAGGAAGATTACTGTTCGTGGAGGAGAGAAGAGGTGAGTTAACAGTCATCGAGTTATTAACATAGGACACAGTGTTAGTGTAGTGTCGTCACCACCTCCTGGTCGACCTCACTACAATATAAATGTTTTCTTGGTAAATTTTTGCTTGGTGTGTTTTAAACGAATCTGACCTTCATTTTGGGCGGAAATTGCTACTTTTGGTAAATCTGAATTAGTTCACACACATCTGTTAGAAGGTCAAAACTATATTTTTCTAGTGTATCTTTGTGTGTTTAGATTGGTTTTGACGTTAATTCCCGTCAGAAATTGCCCGTTTTTTAGTTATCGGGTGTTTTGAGTGGTGCATTTTCTGACAAAAATTATGGCTAAGTGAATACAAAATACAAAAAAAAACAAGATAAACATAAACCTGACCTAACTAACGTAACCTATCCTAGTTGACTCACCATATGATGGAATCACTTATTTCTTACCTTATTGGCCTGGTTCTGACTCGTCGTTGGATTCTGAGATTATTACAGGTTGCTGATGCTGATTCTCGCTTAACGGGGCATATAGGCGGGCAGGTTGTACTTAAGACTGAGGTCGGGAGAACACCACAAGATCTAAAAAATGCTATAGTTTCTTCATTTTTTCCAAAAACTCACAATCAGCTCCATATAATTGAAGTGGCACCCATCGCAGACTTCCTTGGTCGGAAATGAATTTGAATTTCGAAATATGAGAGACCAGAAAGTAAAATAATACCATTTTCTTATCCCAAGACATCAGTGAAAAGTCCTTGAGTGGTGCATTTTGTGGAAATAACTTTGGTAAAATTGCAGATTACAGCAACCAAAGAATCTGATAAAAAATGTGTTACCTAACCTAACCTAACCTTCCATAATTCTGTAGTTGCTGTTTACTGCAATATTACCCTAACTTTTACACTTATTATGTCTTTCATCTGTCATGGCCGCAGTTTATTTGGTAAATTTTCACTTATTTGCACTATACGAAGTCACAGTTGAAACTATTTTTTTTCCTATGGTTTTTGATGTTATGAACGAATTTGACCTTCATTTATGTTGCAGATTAATTTGTTTTGTAAATATTCGTGCATTGACTGTCCTCAGGTTTTGATACAAGAATAGTTTTTTTTGTGTGTATTTTACTTAAATCTGACCTGCATTTTGGTAATACTATTTCACTTGTTGCTATTAAATAAATCTCGTGAATTTTATAGTTGCAGTCAGTAGTTTTGACAATTCTAAGACACCTTTCTTCAATGGCACTTCTGGCACAAATTACGTTTAAGCAAGATATTTAATATTTCATTATTGATGACAGTCAGGCTGTGGACATGGTGTATTGTGACTTCATGAAGGCTTTTGATAGAGTACCCCACAAAAGACTATTAGAAAAGGTATCTAGTTATTGCATTGATGGAAAATATCTTGATTGGGTAAGGAATTTTTTAACTAAGAGAAAACAGAGAGTTGTGGTAAATGGAGAAGTATCTGACTGGAGAGAGGTCACTAGTGGGGTCCCTCAGGGTTCTGTCCTCGGCCCCCTGCTGTTTGTCCTTTTTATCAATGATCTGCCCGAGGCAATTAAACACGACAGTGAGGTATGTCTATATGCGGATGACACAAAGATTTTTAGGAAAATAGAACGAGATGAGGATTGACACACACTGCAGGAGGACCTGGATGGGATCAGGGGTTGGACTGAGAAGTGGATGCTGAACTTTCACCCAGAAAAAAGTAAATACATGAGGATAGGAAGAACAAAAGTTGCTGACCAGGGATGGGGCGGCAACCCTGGCTGGGTCTCTCGAAAGAGCGGTTCAAAAGATGTCGAAGTCTTTAAACTACTAGGGGAACATATGAGTGCGGGGGTGGAGGAGACTGCAGTGGGAGTGGGTAAACAAAGTGAAAGGTTACAGGGAAATAGTGCTAGAAATTATGACAAAACTAAATTAAGCAAGGAGTTAAAACCTAAACACGACAAAGAGAGGATTCAGAACACGACTATCTTAAATGCCTACTACGCTAACAGTAGAAGTATGAGAAACAAAATGGATGATATTAGGGCCTTGGTATGTACCGAAAAAATCGATATAATAGCATTCATTGAAACATGGATCAACCTAGACTCACGTGAGTTACCTGTCGAATACCAAATTGCGGGTTACAAATTATTCCATACCAATAGGCAGATTAGGAAAGGAGGCGGAGTAGCAATCTATGTCAGGGATAATCTGAAGTGTGAAATTAAATAAGGAAATCAAAACTGAGCATAATACAGAAACAATTCGGATAGAATTAATCAATGGTAGGGAAAAATTAATCACAGGAGTAATATATAGACCTCCTAATCTTGATAGAGTTAATGAGCGACTTATTTGGGACGAAATGCACAGGGCTTCCATACACAACAAAGTCTGTATAGTAGGCGACTTTAACTTTAGCCAAATAGATTGGACTGACCTTACGGGTAACTCAGAATCAGAGGATTTTCTCGAAATGATCCAGGACTGTTTCCTAAGTCAACATATAACCGAACCCACCCGGGGTAATAATATACTCGATTTAGTTCTGTCGAACAGAGAAAACCTCATTAGTAATGTCGAAGTAGGGAACGAACTTGCAAACAGCGATCACAAAGAAATTAGATTCCAGTTAGAATTTCAGGGCAGCCGCAAGGAAAATTCCACTTTAGTCCCAGATTTCGGAAGGACAAACTTTGATAGTTTGAAGAGGCAGGTGAGAGAAGGGGTATCACGCTTGGGGCTGAATTACATGACCTCTCATGAGGTGACCTCACTCAATGTACCCACAGAGGGCGACCTCACCCTACCCGGAGACCTGACGGTTGAGATTGAGCTGTTAACGAGACCTGAGGTTGCCGAGTTCCACGACAATTTAAATAATGAGTTACTTAATGCACAAAGGCAAAACATACCATACAGAAAACTCAGATCAGACAACAATGACCCTAAATGGATTAATAATTATTGAAAGAACATAATTAGACAAAGGAAGGCTATAGGTAGGAGAATAAATCATGGTGAAGTTTACCTCCGAGATTATTATAAGGTATTGGCCGGTAGGGTTAAGACCGAAATAAGAAAAGCAAAGAGGAATAATCAGCTGAGGATAGCAAGGGAGGCGAAGTCAAACCCCAAGGGATTCTATCAAATGTATCAAACTAAAACACGAGAAAAGATTGGACCAACACAGTCAGATACCGGCGAGCTTACTGATAATGACGGAGAAATGAGCAATAATCTGAATAAATATTTTTCATCAGTTTTCACCACCGAAAATTTAAACATGATACCCGAGGCACCGACTATATACAGAGATAGTGAAGAAAATAAATTAAGCGAGATAGTAGTGACAAGTAACGATGTTAGTAAGCAAATAGACAAACTAAGGCCTAATAAGTCACCAGGGTCCCGATGAGATATTTGCCAGAGTATTAAAGGAATGTAAGAAAGAGCTTAGTATGCCCTTAGCAAAGTTTTTTAACATGTCCTTAAAAACAGGTGTAGTACCAGAATCCTGGAGAATAGCGAATGTAATATCGATTTTCAAAAGGGAGATAGATCATTATCCTCTAACTACCGTCCAATCAGTCTAACATCAATTGTTGGCAAATTTCTGGAAGCAATCATTTCAAACTCTATTCGAAATCACTTGGAGAACCACAAGTTGATCAATGATTCCCAACATGGCTTCACAAGCGGGCGTTCATGTCTAACTAATCTATTAACATTCTTTTCGTCAGTTTTCGAATGAGTGGACGAGGGGCACAATTATGATGTGGTATATCTCGACTTTAGCAAAGCCTTCGACAGAGTCCCCCTCGAAAGACTAACAAGAAAAGTGGAGGCTCATGGCATTAAAGGTGATATTCTAAAATGGATCAGGGCGTGGTTACAGGACAAGAAACAGCGAGTGAGCATTAACGGCACTAAATTGAATCCGCTGCTTGTGCAATTAATCAGGCCGTTCACATATATTTATTATTTGGGTTTAAGTAACGAAACCCGAACGGTAGTTCCTTGTTTTATTATAAAAGGTTGTATATATATATTTCCTGAGTGTAGATCGACCGTAAGTCCCCCTGTATAGGAGTGAATGAGAAAGGGACGGCGTTTATGTATTATAAACGTTAGGTCACGTCCTTATGATATAAGTTGTTGTGAGCGACTAAAGAGTGAGGGCCTCGCTGTGCGGGCTTACAGATATGCTGACTACGGGTCACTCCCTCCTGGGAGAGTTGCCCGCTCATGTGTACAACTCATGTCATACTCATAGACAGTGGAAAGTTACAGGGTGGTGAATCTGAATACAGTATAATATCAGATGTATTGACCCATTTATATAATATGTTCTGTTGATGAGACAGGGGCCCATTACAAAATCCCATTGGAACAATGTCACTAGTGGAGTTCCCTAAGGCTCAGTACTTGGACCATTATTTTTTATTATATACATAAATGACATAGATATCAGCATAGACAGCAACATAAGTAAATTTGCTGATGACACTAAAATAGGACGTGTAATTAAATCTGACGAGGACTCGGCGAAACTACAGGAAGAGCTAAACAAATTTTTCGAATGGTCTGAAAAATGGCAGATGAAATTAAATGTGGACAAATGTAAAGTACTCAGTATAGGAGATCTAAACAGGGAAACCAGTTACCAGATGAACAACGATGCCATTGAGAAATCCGACTGCGAGAAATATTTAGGAGTACTGTAATGATAAGTAGGAATCTTAAACCAAGTAAACAATGTGTATTTACTCGAAACAAGGCTAACAAAGTACTTGGGTTCATACAAAGGAGTGTTAGTTACAAGACTAGCGAGGTCATCTTAAAATTATATCTTGCGCTTGTGAGACCTCACTTGGATTACGCATTTCAATTCTGGTCACCTTATTACAGAATGGATATAGAATCCTTGGAAAGAATTCAGAGGAGAATGACAAGACTAATCCCAGGCATTAGGAACCTTGAGTAAAGAGACAGGTTAAAGCATCTTAATTTGCACTCCCTCGAGAGACGTAGAGTGAGGGGCGACCTGATAGAGGTGTATAAGTGGAAGTCAGGGCTAAACAAAGGGGACATTATGAAGGTACTCAAACTATCCAACCAGGAGCGAACTCGTAACAATGGTTTTAAATTAGACAAATTTAGATTTAGGCGCAAAATAGGTAAACATTGGTTTGGAAATAGAGTAGTGGACGAGTGGAACAAGTTACCAAATATCATCATTAACTCGAACACGCTGGATAGCTTCAAACATAGGTTGGGTGGATATATGAGCAATAGGGGTTGGGTGTAAATGGGACTGCCCAGTATGGGTCAATAGGCCTGCTGCAGTTTCCTCCATTTTTATGTTCTTATGTTCTTATATTGTGTGATGCTATGCCACTTGTTCCTACTTGAGTGACATAGATCTGTTTACTCAATAGTATTATACAGTATCCAATTGGGTTCCTGAATACATTCATCGCATTATAACCAAATTGTGCAGTAAAAACACGGGTTATGGAGGAACTTACTGTATGTGGCTCGTGTGAGAAGTGTGATGTATGGCAGTGAAACTTGGGCAGTTAAAGAAGATGCTATGAGTAGTCTTGAGTGAGCTGAAATAAGAATGTTGAAGTGGATGTGTAATGTGACACTGAAGGACAGGAGGTGCCGTTCAGAGCTAAGAGGGCAGCTGGGTATTGAGAATATTGGTGAAGTCCTGTGTAGAGGCAAAGCAGAGACGGTTTAGGCATGTGGAGAGAATGTACGAGACTGATTTGGTCAAGAGGTGCAGGAGTCTGTATGTGGAGGAGAGGAGAGCCAGGAGCAGGCCAGGAATAACATGGGGAGAGGTTGTGAGAAATGACATTAGAGTTAAGAACCTGACAAGAGACCGTGCAGCATGAACAGGTGACCACAACTAACCCAAGTAAGTGTGGAAAATGGCCATAGAACGATGGTGATGGTGTAAGGGAGTTTGAGAACATTTTCTTAGCCTTAAGTGTTGTTTTATACTTATTTGTCGTAAAGGTTAGGTTTAAGTTGTGTAATGTACCTGAACTGTTTTCTTAAATAAGTGAATGACAACATATTATGACACCAAAACTTTACAGCTCACCATAGCAGCAGCTGCCTGGTGAAAACATAGGACTACCAATTTTAAATTGACACCAAGTAGGTTGTGGCCAGTGTACTGTACTGTACATTAACCTAAGGCAGGGGTCACCAAACTTTTTTTTACAGTGGGCCGGATAACTGAAAGAATGACGAGCGCGGGCCGCATAATCATTCTGTTCAATACTTGCAAGCCAGAACGAAAGCTCTGGTAACGTCAGAGCGTAGGCGGAGCTACCACGAGCCGGGGAAGGACTTGGGATCCGGCCCGCGGGCCGTAATTTGGTGACCCCTGACCTAAGGTAAGAGGGGCTGCTAGTGTAGATCATTTACAGCTGTCTGATGACAACCAATCTATACTACGCGAACAAAAACCCAAAATAACCAAATATCATTTGGTTAATTTTGAGGTAATGGCATATACAGGTTGACAATCCCTTATCCGAAATCCTTGGGGCCAGAGGCATTTCGGAATTCGGAATTTTTCGGCTTATAGAATGGTTAGTTTTTTTTTTACGTGTGTATTTGCCCACCTGGGCACAAGTCACTGACCCACATTTGGGCCTGGGGGGCGAAAATATAATAATTATAATAATAATAATAATAATAATACATAATATTAATAATAATTCTTCTTAGGTCTAGGTCGTGTTTCTCACTTTTTATCTTTTTTTCATTCTTGTATTTCTTAATTATTATTTTATTATTACAGTATTATTGTTATTATTATTAATTTTATTATTATATTTTATTATTATTATTGTTATCATTATTATTTTATTTGGGTGTATTTTGTATTAAATTTTTTATTTACTATGAATAATTATTATTATAATTATTATTACTATTACATTTTCGTCCCCAGGCCCCGATGGGCTAATCCCTGTTAAAAAAAAAAAAAAAACTAACTTTCGGTTTTCAGAGCTTTTCGGAATTTCGGATAAAGGGTTGTCAACCTGTATTAATGTGCTTGTCTTGATATTAATAATGGTTTGGTGTCTTTGATTAAACAACTTTGGTAATACTTAGTATATGTCAAGTAAACTGTGGCCTCTATACCCAAGTTGCTTTGATAATTGACCAACACCCTCTCCAAACTCTCTGATTTTAGCTGAAACAGATCACGGAGAACTACCAGACTTGTGTACTGTATGGTATATATTATTGTACTTGATGGTGTGTTATTATTTAGGTTCAGTGATAGTTATTGTTGTTTACTGAAAGGCTGAGGTCATGGGGGACTACTTGCCACCTCTTTATGTTAGCTCAGAGACGTTTTTTCTTTCCTCTGTTGCTGGTTTGGTTTTGTTGCCTTGACATGGACAGTTTAGTGAGGTCCCACAGTAAACAAACTATTAGTACTGTACCAATAACTTTCCTAACATACCTTCATCACGTCAGGCTGTCCATTGTACTGTACAGTTGTTCCACACAGTCACTTAAACTCTCATAATTTAACTAAAATTCTTGACTTGTTAAAAGTATTGTGGTTAGAGAGTTTATAGTTAACTGCTGTACTCTACAGTATTTAGGAAGAATCCACAAAATACAGTTTTATGAGAGTGACTTTCTGTACAATACAGTTGTAATACAGAACTGTGTCTGAAACACTTGATGTTCATATAAGTTGTAGAAATATTAAAATGCTCATAGAATGATAATCTCTTCCTCAGGCTCAAGTACGATGTTGATGTCCGAGGAGCAGAAGAGTAACGTGTTGGCACTGTCTCAGCTGACCAACGATGTATGTAATGCTTTAATGACACACACAATTAATGGTATGCTATAACTTACAGTGATAACAAGTGTGTAAATATTATGTGACGGAAGATGTCCAGCCTCTTGTGTCAGTACAGTAGCTGACTATTGGGTCATTGTACATTATGGGGGAAGTACTGTACAACACAGCTCAGTATAGTACAGTACTGTACCGCACAACTCAGTATAGTACAGTACTGTACAGCACAGCTCAGTATAGTACAGTACTGTACCGCACAACTCAGTATAGTACAGTACTGTACAGCACAGCTCAGTATAGTACAGTACTGTACAGCACAGCTCAGTATAGTACAGTACTGTACAACACAACTCAGTATAGTACAGTACTGTACAGCACAGCTCAGTATAGTACAGTACTGTACAACACAACTCAATATAGTACAGTACTGTACAGCACAGCTCAGTATAGTACAGTACTGTACAACACAACTCAATATAGTACAGTACTGTACAGCACAGCTCAGTATAGTACAGTACTGTACAACACAACTCCGTATAGTATAGTACTGTACAGCACAGCTCAGTATAGTACAGTACTGTACAGCACAGCTCAGTATAGTACAGTACTGTACAACACAACTCAGTATAGTATAGTACTGTACAGCACAGCTCAGTATAGTATAGTACTGTACAGCACAGCTCAGTATAGTACAGTACTGTACAGCAAAGCTCAGTATAGTACAGTAATGTACAACACAACTCAGTACAGTACAGTACTATATAGTACAGCACAGCTCAGTATAGTACAGTACTGTACAGCACAGCTCAGTATAGTACAGTACTGTACAGCAAAGCTCAGTATAGTACAGTACTGTACAGCAAAGCTCAGTATAGTATAGTACTGTACAACACAGCTCAGTATAGTACAGTACTGTACAGCAAAGCTCAGTATAGTATAGTACTGTACAACACAGCTCAGTATGGTACAGTACTGTACAGCACAGCTCAGTATAGTATAGTATTGCACAGCTCAGTATAGTATAGTACTGTACAGCACAACTCAGTATAGTACAGCACTGTACAGCACAGCTCAGTATAGTATAGTACTGTACACCACAGCTCAGTATAGTATGGTACTGTACTGCACAGCTCAATATAGTACAGTACTGTACAGCACAGCTCAGTATAGTACTGTACAACACAGCTCAGTATAGTACAGTACTGTACAGCACAGCTCAGTATAGTACAGTGCTGTACAGCACAGCTCAGTATAGTATCATATAGTACTGTACAACACAACTCAGTATAGTACAGTACTGTACAGCACACCTCAGTATAGTACAGTACTGTACAGCACAACTCAGTATAGTATAGTACTGTACAGCGCAGCTCAGTATAGTACAGTACTGTACAGCACAGCTCAGTATGGTATAGTACTGTACAGCACAGCTCAGTATAGTACAGTACTGTACAGCACAGCTCAGTATAGTACAGTACTGTACAGCACAGCTCAGTATAGTACAGTACTGTACAGCACAGCTCAGTATAGTACAGTACTGTACAGCACAGCTCAGTATAGTACAGTACTGTACAGCACAACTCAGTATAATACAGTACTGTACAGCACAGCTCAGTATAGTACAGTACTGTACAGCACAGCTCAGTATAGTATAGTACTGTACAGCACAGCTCAGTATAGTACAGTACTGTACAGCACAGCTCAGTATAGTACAGTACTGTACAGCACAGGTCAGTATAGTACAGTACTGTACAGCACAGGTCAGTATAGTACAGTACTGTACAGCACAGCTCAGTATAGTACAGTACTGTACAGCACAGCTCAGTATAGTACTGTACAGCACAGCTCAGTATAGTACAGTACTGTACAGCTCAGTACAGTATAGTACTGTACAGCACAGTTCAGTATAGTATAGTACAGTACTGTACAGCACAGCTCAGTATAGTACTGTACAGCACAGCTCAGTATAGTACAGTACTGTACAGCTCAGTACAGTATAGTACTGTACAGCACAGTTCAGTATAGTATAGTACAGTACTGTACAGCACAGCTCAGTATAGTACTGTACAGCACAGTTCAGTATAGTATAGTACAGTACTGTACAGCACAGCTCAGTATAGTACTGTACAGCACAGTTCAGTATAGTATAGTACAGTACTGTACAGCACAGCTCAGTATAGTACAGTACTGTACAGCTCAGTACAGTATAGTACTGTACAGCACAGTTCAGTATAGTATAGTACAGTACTGTACAGCACAGCTCAGTATAGTACAGTACTGTACAGCTCAGTACAGTATAGTACTGTACAGCACAGTTCAGTATAGTATAGTACAGTACTGTACAGCACAGCTCAGTATAGTACAGTGCTGTACTAGGATGTGTCATACGGAGGTGAATTTTTTTTTTTGAGTTTGAAAAATCGGCCCATGGTATTAATGATGTAGTTCTATGTTCAGAATCATGTGATATCTTCAGATTTGAAAAGTTTTCATTTTTTGCTAGGTAAATTTTAACTTGAAATCTTATGAAAATTCAGTATTCCCACCCTTTTACCAACACCACTAAATAGCTTATTTAAAGTAAAGTAAATGTATCAGGTTAATTTATTAGGATGAAAATGATCCAGAATAGTGAAATGAATGATCTTGACACATTTATTAAATTTAATATTCGCTAGAAAACAAAATCATCAAATACAAAAGCAGGTTTTACTACTCTATGAGCCAGGTGTTGCTGCTGCACACCATAGAGAACATGTCTTTCTTGCTTCTGTTTCTACTCATCACCTCCCTGCTGACCACCTGAGCTCGGATGTAGCCTTCCCTCCTCTCCTGGCTGTACATGTGACTGCTGGCCTCGCTCACTTGCTGTACACAACGCTCTATACTCTGGGTGTGCGAGGGCCAGGCAGGGACATGCATGGGGTTGTCCAGGAAAGCTCTGACTTGAACATTGGTGAGGCTGCAGGTAAGAGAGGGCTCACTGCCAGCCTGGATGTTATCCAGATCTATGAGATCAGTGAGGGTCTTGGCACCTAGATTGACTTCAGGAGTCTTCCTGACCCTGAAGGGCAAATCCTGTGATTACGTCATGCCCCAGATCCTCTCAAAAGTCTCATATCCAAGATCTTTTTGACTGCCACTCTTCTCTCCTCCTCATCCTTGCTGCAGAGCATTGTCTGCAGAACTGCCTCGGGATGAGCATACCAGGAAGATCTCCTCACAGTCTGCTCCACAATCTGAACAACCTTCCTTGGCTGACTCCTCAGGAGCTCAAACTGGAAGAGAACATGCCTCGGACCTTCGGAGAACGATGACTTGACCTTGGTGTTGAACCAATTTGGCAAGTAGACACTCACGATGAATTGGACAATAAGTCTCAGGTTGTGAAGCTGGTTCCCCTTTGTTCAGATTTACTGATGGTACCAAATTCTGAACTAGAGGCTGTTGTGACACCCACCTAGAATGGCAGGGCTGAACACTATCTGCAGGTAAACAAGTCTGTCAGGCACTGACCCCCAGTTTTTGGCACTGCAAATCATGTAACCCATAGTACTGGTCAGTACTCAGGTCGTCAATGACAGTATGTGCAAGCTCAACGAGTGGAGGGCCAACTGTGATTTTTTCAAAGCTCGGATTTATTTCTAACTCAGTGGCAAAGTCCAGCATCTTGCCAAGAGGACCAGACCATCTGTTGTTTGAAAGAGTCTTGCCATCCAGCTCCTGGATCAGATGTCTGAGTGGCAACTCGTTGGTGTAGAGGTCACAAACAATCCAGACCAGCTTCCTCCCAATCTTCCGCTCTATCCACTGTATGACCCCCCCTTGCCACCCTGTGTGTTCGTGTTGGTGCTGTCCCTCCAATGGCCTGCAGGGGTCTGAGTCCTACGTTCCTCTCTCTGAGCCAGTTCACAATGTTATCTGCCACTATCTCAGCTGGTTTCCTGATGATGTCATCTTTCTCTGGAGTAAATGCCACAAATACTTCCCTCCTGGTTCACTGCAGCAGGGAGTAGTGTTCCTCAGCCTTCACGATGGCGAGAACAACTTGTGTCCAGAATCTCCAACTTTCATGAACACTTTGAGTGTCATCCTTCTCCCATCAAGAACTTGGCTTGGTGATTCCATTTTCTCTTATCCTTATCAAGCTCCTCTTCCTAGGTTACTGACAGAGGTTTCCCTGAGCTCTCCTTACTTTGTTGTGATCTATCACCAGGTGAACATCATCAGGTGTTATCGAAGCCACCGTCAGCAGGCAGCTGTTGCTATCTCTGCAGTTTCTCTGAGACCAGTGTGGTGTGGCATGCTGGCAGAAGCTATGCTCAGGATATCTTTCCTATTTCGAATCTTATGCCCGGAAGGTTTGGGATCATTATTTTTCTGGAGTTAGGACAAAGTCCACCATTCTCCTGATCAGCACTCGAGGATGAGCCAGAAATCAGGACCAAACTCTGAATCAGCTTGACTCCAATCTTCGGCCTTTTTACCTCACCCTGGGCCTTCTCAAGTCTCTTTCACCGTAGCTCTTCTCCTCTTCTGTCTCTCTCTGGCAGCCTCTGTCTCTTGGACTCCGGAATATCTTGGCTAGAAATCATGAGAGCCCCTACTTTTCCTCCAGTCTTCTCTCTCTATTAGCACGGCAAAATGCCAGTTAAGTCACAGGAATCTTCAGTTCAGCTTGCAAATACAGAATGTGGCCTCGGATTTGCGATCCGCGATGCATCCAAACTCAGGACCAAGAGAACAATTGGGCACCTGAAGTAGTATGTCAAATAACTGGTCAGTTGCTTGGCAAGCTGTCACCAACTGCAGTTTTCCTCTCCCAAGAGATATCTCTTGCCTTTTCCCCAACAGCTAGCAGTCTCTCACTAATGCTTCTGACTTGTTATGACTGGAGGCTTGAACTGGCGTTAGCCAGAGTGTACTGTGCCAAGGTAGCTTTGGTCATATCACTGGCAATGTCTTTGTTTGTGTAAGTTCTTTGGTTCTTTTTCACTGATTTGCCT